TGGAGCTCAGAGCCGTGCCAGGTTTCCTCACCCAGCCTTGCACTGAAGATACAGCCCATTAGGTAACCTGGCTCATTACGCCAGGATCTCCAGGTTTGTGCCTCAGTCTCCCAACCCCTGAGCACCATCAATTCCCAAAACCCTGGCCTCCCAGGATTAGCTTTTGTGAGCTGGCTTTCAGGTTTTTCTTCACCTGTCTTTGGGGTTAGCAGCTTTCCTGGCCCTTAATGATTTGCTGTACTTCCTTGTGAACTCTGCAATGAATTGAAAAGTATGTTTTTAAAAATACGTATCCATCAACTGGGCGTTTTGTGAATGGAGACTTGTTAGAATATCTAGGCTGCCACAGTGCCTAGGATCTCTTGAAACCATAAACTACTTAGAAGTGAGATTTTCGCTTTCCAGACATAGGATATTGTATGATCAGTTTCTGTTTGTATTGCACTGTGGCCAGAAAGCATGCAGTCTGACCACTGAACAAGACACCACTGACGCAGACATAACCATGTCTGTTTCACGTCTGAATTCAGACATGATCTGAGTATCTTTTTGATCTGATTTACCTGGAGACTTTTTTGTTGCTTTCTGTGCTGTTCAGCATTCTTCATAGCAGGTTGCAGGATTTACCCAGGCAAGTTCAAGCAGAAAGAGTTTTTTTGAAGGATATTAGGATCTTACAGACGCTCTGGAAGGGCTAGAGAACCAGGGAGGATGTCCCCACATCCAAGAATGTGGCAGCCAAGAGAAACCCAACCCCACCAGGAGGTTCTTCCAGAAGAAACCCACTGCCACTGCCTCCCAGCAGAGCTCAGCCCCTGTGGTGCTAAGGGGATGGGACTGAACAGCTCCGCCGCCAAGCAGAACAGAAAAGCTGATCACCACCGGGGCTCATCCCTTCTTTCCACTTTGCAGGCAGTTGTGTCTGCTATAGAGGAAAATGGGCACAGTAGCTTTCAGCTGCCCAGCCTCTGTAGTTCGAGAAGGCAGACTAGATAGGAGCGTATCCAGAGACACGAGGAGGGTGGCCTGAATAGCAGCTGAGACCTCCTCCTGTAGCTATGGGGCGGGAGCATAGATGCAGTCAGTTTGATGTAATGTGTGTTTTCTCTGTGAAATACAGGGTAAGATTATCAGCTGAGAGTGAGAGGACCGTAGTGGATATGTAGGAAGAGGAAATGGCACTGAGGGGCTGCCGCAGAGAGCAGCAAGGGACATTTATGGGGGAAGGGTGGTGGGCATGTCTGGCAGTTACAGCAGCTTTGCCAGTAAGCTCAGGGGAAGGCTGGGGAGGGAACAGTGAGAGTGAGGACGTAGCCGTGTGGGGTCCAAGCTTCATTCAGGAGGGAGGTGAGGGCTGAGATGAAGGATAGGGTAAAAGTGGTGGGTGGGCACATAGCTGGTCTCCAGGAGGAGAGGTGAAGACACAGAGGTGAAGGTTGGAGAGATAAATGTCTAGAACTAGGAGACACCAGAAGAGAGATCTGTGGGCTCTGTGCAGGATGGGCCACCACAGGGTCTTCTCAGCATTCCTGCACCACCCTGGGCTCACATCAGTGCCCGAGAGGGGTCTGTTTCCCTCTCTCGCTGTCTTGGCCTGTGCTGGGGTGGGGGCATCCTGCACCTCTGGGCCTCGGGTGGAGCCTTCTCACTGCCCAGGTCCCATCCAGCCCCTCCAGGGCAGCCCACTCTGCCTCCTGTCTCCATGGCTATTGGGCCCATCCCCTCAGACCTCTGCTTTGTAGAGGAGCAGACCCTGGGCCCTAGAGGTGTCTGCCCATTCTGCAGGGATGTTGGTCCTTCCCCTCCCGCAGAGCCTGGGCTGGGTTCCCAGTGGAAGAAGGATGGGCTCCTAACCCCATCCAAGAGGCAGAGGGTTGGGTGGGTTTCCCCAGCAGCATAAGGCTTCTGCCTCCTATGTGGGGTTCTAGAGAAGTGGCCCCACACACACTGTCTCACCTCAGGCTTGCAGGTGGATGCAGAGTACCAGCGGGGGTGTGAGGAGGAGGGCTGGGGGCAGGTGTGAGCGGCCCTTGTTCCTGGGCCCCACAGCTGTCCTAGACTGACACATCAGTCTGCATATGGCCTTCAGGATTGTTCCAAGATGAACTGACCTCTTCCTACCCTCCTTGGCAGCTGCCACCACTTCTTCCCACACTTTGTGGGGGGTGAGAGCTGGTAGCCTGTCTGGCTCTCCTTGGAGCCTGGGGCTCTGGAATTCTGTCCCTCCCCTTGGCTCCCTGTGACCATGGCTCGTGGGCTCAGAGGAAGTACTGCTGCTGCAGGTGGCCTGGCTGGTCCCTGTTGAAGACAAGCAGCCCTGTCTTGCCGCTTTTCTGCATCATAAGCTGAGTCGGAACCCATGGTGGTGTCTTTCTCAGTGTTCAGCTGGTGGTTCAAGGAGACGGGACGATTCAGCATGCTCGGACCTTGCCACACTGATGTGAAACTCACTTGCTTTTGGTGCTTTCACAGTCCAGTAGCGTCTATATCCACATTTCATGTCAAGCTCACTGTCTGGCAGTTTTTGGAATCCAGTCTCCCCAGAGTCTGCCCAGCCTCATGGTGCCTGCCAGCCCCCGTCCTGGTGCTGCTGGCCCATTGGCGTTCTAGGTAGCTCCATGGAGACCGGAGGCCAAGTGCGGACTGGGGCTATTTCCTCTGGTGATACCTCCTCCACCCTCCTATTCTGAGGCCCTTCAGTTAAAATAGGATGAAAATAGGATTCCTGTGGTCTCTCATGGCCTCCTTTGCACCACTGAATTATTTCTTTTTTTCTTTTTTTTGGAGATGGAGTCACCCTCTGTCACCCAGGCTGGAGTGCAGTGGCACGGTTTTGGCTCACTGATCCCTCCACCTCCTAGTTTCAAACTATTCTCCTGCCGCAGCCTCTTGAGTAGCTGGGCTTACAGACTCCCACCACCAGGGCCAGCTAATTTTTGTATTTTTAGTAGAGATGGGGTTTCACCATGTTGGTCAGTCTGGTCTCAAACTCCTGACCTCAGGTGAGCTGCCCACCTCAGCCTCTTAAGGTGCTGGGATTACAGGCATGAGCCATCGCACCCAGCCTGCACCACAGAATTTATTTAAGGAGTTGGCCAGCCCCAGCCACCCTGTTAGAAGAGGAGGTCCTTGGGTTGTCCTTGGGAGCCCTGGAATCGTCTCCCACCAAGCTTGATTTTCACAGCATCTGTCAGCACACTGACCTCCCTGGGTGTTTATCCTTCACAGCATGATCTTCCTTCTCCTCAGTTCTGTGTCCAGCTCAACAGGAGGGCACGAGCCTGCCAGGTCTTCCCCTATGGAGCTCGTCCTCTTCTGCTCCGTGAGAGGGCCTCAGGAGGAGGGGTCAGAACAAGGTTCCACACCTTCCACTGCTCTCACCTTGAAAGGTCCATCCCCTGGGTCTGACCATGTGAGTCTCTTAGGAACTTCAGCCAATGAGCAAACATGTATTGAGCACCTGCTGTATGCCTGCCCCTTTGCCTGATGTTTGACACTTAAAGCTGATATTCAGAGGACCCTGCAGGGAGCTTCCAGGCCATGGGGGAGAGGTCACCTGCAGAGGTGATTTCGGCACCACGTGGGTGTCAATGGGGGCTGTCTGCCCAGTGGTTTTGGCCAACGGTCCTGGAGGACACGGAAGTGGCAAAGCTGATTCCTGTCTGGCAGGTTACTGCACTTGGCGCCAGTGAGGTCTGAGACACTGCGGTCATATCCTCAAGGTCCCCTCACTTCTCCACAGAATAGTTTTTCCTCATTGGGCAGCATGCAATCCACATAAATCTACAGGTATAGTAAAATGATGTCAGACCACACCCACACTCCACCCATGCCCACCTCCTGGTTCTGGTGTTTTCAAATAAGAGCGTTGGGAGAAACTGCAGAAAGAGCGTAGGGACCTCGCTGTACTGTCCTTGTCACCTCCTGCAAATATATAATTATTTCTAAATAAAAAGTAAAAAGACAAATTGAGAATCTTGTCCCAAACTAAAGCTTATAGACTTTGCCTTTGCACCCCCATCCCCACTCCTGCACCCCTGCTTCTTCCCTGAGAATTCAAATCATGCCCAAGATGGTCACTTCTAATTTGCTTTGGAAAACCCCAGTGGAGACCCAGAAGCAACTCAGTTTCTAGCAGAGCCCAGGCTTCCAGGGGAAAGCACGGGATGGGAAGGAAGGGACCGGGTCTGAGCCTCCCCTCGCCTCTCTGAAGGCTGTCTCTCCATCAGCTGTGCTGGAGGCTGGGACTCCCTTGGGCTTTGGGGGCTGTACAAAAATCAAATTGAAAAGAGTTACCCTTCTTCTTGGCTCCCTAAAAGCCCTCCAGTCACCAGCAGTGGCTTGTTTAGGATGCATTGAGTCATTTTGTTCTATCTGCATGGTGTGTGGTTTTGATACAGTCTCTGGCATCAGACAGCAAAAATACAAAGCCATAAACCGCCCCCTGGTTTTCCAAGGGCCTCCCTTTCACCTTGTGAGAAGACTTTTTTTGCCCTTGGGGTGAAATAAATCGTGGATGCAAATGCAGAGGCTGAGGGCGGCATCACCTGGTGAGCTGTTTGCAGAACTCAGGTGTGCCTGGAAGGGTGAGAAACGAGTCTGACTGGGCTTTCCTGGGATGAAGGTGGGTGGGGGCTCTGATCTGCATTTTCTCCCAAATGTTCAAATACACTGCAGCGCAGGCACTGTGACTAATCACAAGATTTAATGGCCTTAAAGTGCTCACTGAGGGCCCAATTCAATTAAAAAATGTCCTGCCGAAGCCATGAATAACCCTCTTGCCTTTGCTTTCCCAGTCTTCTGGAGGCCTCTGCCGAGCAAAGCCAAGTGGGCGTTTCATTTTTTTAATTTTCTTCTTGATGTGGGCCCCGGACCCCTACCAGTCACATGAGCGCTCACCTCCCTCGAGGCCGCCCCCACCCCCACTTCTCGCTGGCACAGGTGCCACGCTGCCTGTGTTTGCACTGGCACCTGGGAAATGACTTCTGCTCCTTCTCCAGTTTGACAGACTCTGGAACGAGATGCCAGTCAATGCCAAGGGGAGACTGAAATGCCCGGACTTCCTGAGCAGGTTCAGTTCTGAGACACCAGCCACACCAATGGCCTTGGGCGACTCGGGCACAGCCCAGAGAGGGAGCAGTGTCCCTGACATCTCGGAAAGCACCAGATCTGCCCTCTCATCACCCACTCGGGAGCTGAGACCAGGGTCAAAGTCTCGGAGTCACCGCTGTGTGAGTTCTCCATTCTTCCAAGTGTCCCAGGCCACCTCACGCCACATCCACAAATCCCACTGGGATGGGGACTGGTGTCGCCCAGGGGTTGGGTGGCTGAGAAGCCAGGTGAACCTGGGGTGGACTCCACAGGCAAGGAGTCCACTGGGGCGGGTCCTTAGCACCCATTCCCGGGGAGGGGAAGATGTGGGGATAGGAACAGCAGAAGAGTGGGATGAAAAGGAGGCATGAGCAGGTGCAAGGTGGGAAAGGGAGCAGGCAGCACCTGGCGCAGTGCGATGATGCTGCCGGCATCTCTGCACAGAAGGCAAGGCCCTATGGTCAACTGCAGGCTGCAGTCCCTTGAGGCAAGTTATACCCATTTTCCAGTTGAACACAGTGAGGCTCTAAGAGGCTTTTTCACGTGATCTTGGTTCCTCAGATGTGGAGCGAACCTGATTTTGAGCCCAGGCCTATCAAACTGCACAGCCTAGAGCCCTGGCTGAGCCACCCCAGGTTTGGGAGGGAGGAAGGTGCCCAGGCTCACCAAGGCTCTTTTCTTATCTGCAGAAAGGGATGGCAACATCACCAGGACAGGGTGGTTGAGAGAATGCCATGCCATGCACATAAAGCCACCATCACTGTGCATGACCTTGGCTATTCCATTTTCATTAACTCCACACAAGTTTTTTGCAGACCTACTGTGTGCTGGGTATTTTCTACAGCTGAGGATGAACTAAGGTTCCTGCTCTTGTAGAGTTTATGTTCTTTCAGGGGATGACAGGCAAGAAAGCAGTAAGCAGAAGTATTTATTATGTTAAAAGGCAGGAAGTAGAGCAGAAGGAGAGGGGTCAGAAGCACCCCAAAGATCCCTGTGTCCTAATCCTTGGAAGCTGTGACTATGTTGTCTCACATGGCAGGGGAAATTAAGGTTGCAAACAGAACTGAAGTTGCTAATCAGCTGGCCTTGGGGAGATTATCCTGGAGTACACAGGTGGGCTCACAGTAATCATGTGGGTCTTTAACTGGGAATCCCGAGGCAGAAGGCTCAGGGCTAGAGAGATGCCATCTGATGCTAATGCTGATCGCTAATGTGATCCACCTCATGCTGCTGGCTTTGAAGAGAGAGGAAGGGGCCACAAGCCAAGGAGTGTGGGAAGCCTCTGGAAACTGAAAAGGCAAGAAAATGGATTCTCCCCTTGAGCCTCTGGATACCTTGATTTTAGCTCAGTGAGCCCCAGTTCAGACCGCTGACCTCTAGAACTGTAACATAATAAACTGATGTTGTTTTAAACCACTAAATTCATGGAAATCTGTTATAGGAGCAGTAGGAGACCAGAGGGCTGGAGGCCATGATGAGGACTTTGGCATTCATTCAAGGGGCATGGAGACTTTGCGTGTTTTTAAGCAGCAAAGCGACGTAGTCTGTAGGACTCTTTAAAGACCACTCTGGTGCTGAGGCTGGGGGTCAGTGAGGAGGTCTAGCAAAGGCAATGGTGGCTTGGGATGGGTGAGACTCTGGAAATATTTTCAAGGTAGAGTCAACAGGATTTCCTGAGGGATCAGATGGGATCAGATGTGGGATGGAGAGGGAGCAGGAGAGTCAAGGAAGACTTCTAAGGGTTCCACCTGAGCAACTGGAAGAAGGCGAAAAACCTGGGCTAAATTAAATCCACTCCTTTTTTTTTTTTTTTTTTTTTTTTGAGACAGAGTCTCACTGTATCGCCCAGGCTAGAGTGCAATGGCACGATCTTGACTCACTGCAACCTCCACCTCCTGGGTTCAAGCAGTTCTCCTGCCTCAGCCTCCTGAGTAGCTGGGATTACAGGCATGTACCACCATGCCTGGTTAATTTTTGTATTTTTAGTAGAGCTGGGGTTTCACCATGTTGGCCACGCTGGTCTGGAACTCCCGGCCTCAAATGATCCACCTATTTTGTGCTGGGATTACAGGTGTAAGCCATGACGCCCAGCCCACTCTCTTGTTTTTAAATGGAAAATACAATAAAGCAAAGAACAGCCCCTTACTTGGTCCACATAATGTCAAAATAACAGATATTCTGTGAATGTTTATGGATTGGATGTCTCGTGCCCATGACAAGTAAATCCCTTTCTTGGATAAGAGTCTGCCGCTAGTGAAATATGTGCCATCATCACTTTTCTCTCACACACACACCCCAGAAGTATGTTTTAACATCACATCTGTATAGATTTGAACCTTGGCTTACATATTTATTTCCAAAATTATTTTGGTTATTATGGCTTGGCACAGGTACATATAGCCCACCAATGGAAATAAAAGCTACCTAGTAAAATTACCACCTATGTCTGATTCTTCATTTTATTTCTGGGCTGATTCTGCCTCTAAAATTGTGATCCTCTAAACCTTGAGGATCTAAATATTGAGGTATTTTTCATGGCTTCTGTTTTACATCTTAAGTGAAAAGAGCCTTTTCTTTTCTTCCCTGCTAGACTCCAGCGAACACCGCCACAATCCCGGGCACTCCACCCTTGCAGAACTGTGATCCCATAGAGAGCAGGCTCCGGAAGAGAATCCAGGGCTGCTGGCGAGAGCTCCTGAAAGAATGCAAGGCGAAGGATGTGGGCAGACAGGGGGACATCAACACCTCCGAGTTCCTGGGTTCGTTTTGAGTCTATCCCCTTGGCAATCCGTCGTCAGCCCCTGTGGCAAGGGGCTGTTCCCACTGGGCACAAAGCCACAGCCCACCCTGGGTGGAGGCCAGGGAGCAGTAGAACGGGAAATGGGAAATTCTGGGTGGGCTGCACAGCTCACTAATCAAAGGTCCCCAGGGAGGAGGATTCCGACCACCTGCCCCTCCCAGCAGGGTTCCATCTGCATGTAAAGTCAGCGCTGCACTAACTCTGAGCTTTGAAAATCACAGGCATGGTTGCCACCCTGGGCAGAGTGTAAATGTTCTCAGGCTCTGACCGCTGAAGGAGATGGAGAAGGTGGAGGAGGGCAGGATGAAGCAGGGATGCTCCTGGGGCTCCATTCCCATCAACATCCACTCTTAGATGTTGTTTTGTTTTTCAGCATGTATCCCTTTGATAAGCTTTTAAAATTAAATCAGTGGGATTTATACTTCCAGTAACTGTTGCATCTTGGTTTTGGGGGTTTTGTGGTTTTGTTGTTTGGGGTTTGTTTGTTTTTGAAACAGGGTCTCAGCTCTCTGCAACCTCTGTCTCCAGGAATCAAGCAATCTCCCACTTCAGCCTCCCAAGTAGCTGGGATTTACGGGTATGCATCACCATGCCTACCTATTTTTGTATTTTTTGGTAGAGACAGGATTTCACCATGTTGGCCAGGCTGGTCTCAAACTCCTGATCTCAAGTGATCTGCCCACCTCAGCCTCCCAAAGTGCTGGGATTATAGGTGTGAGTCAACACACCCAGCCCAGTTACACCTTGTTTATGCAACATTTTACGTTACCAGAAAATACATCTGACCATGTCACTCCTTGGCTTTTTAGCTCTGCTTATACGTGACTAATAGACCCCTTTTAAAGGAAAATGTTTTCCTTCAGATCCTCCAATATTAATATAAATTACTTTTATCGTAATTATGGCTTTTAAATGCACAAATTAAACCAGGTGTAAGCTCTTTAAGTTAGAGCTTATTTTAAAAAAACACTTCAAAATTACGTTTAAAAAAATCTGAGGTCAGTAATATTCAATGTTGTTACACCGATTGACTGTAACATGTTTTGCTGAAGCCAAAACATCGTGTTGATTGTCATACACATTGGAGTTCCCCTGTTCTTTTAGTTAATTCTTTGATTTTTGAGAGTGATAAACCTTCACTGTGTTACTGTCCTTATTGCTATTGCTGGCTTTTTCTGTTTAAACAGTAACTCATTTAAGCCCCCATGCAGTTATTATTATAGGCGTGTCAGATGTTAGTCACGCATCCAAAATTCAATATTATAAAAAAGCCAGTTACTTTCCAAAAGTCATTCTGTATTTTCTTATCAGTGCTGATGGCCTTCTGTGAGTCAGAGCATCAGAGGCATGTATGGCCAATTCCTTGGGGTTCCGTGGGCCCCTGCTGTGTCCTTGCGGGCACCATGCCTGCTGCTGCTTCCCTCTGTGCAAGGGCAAAGAAATCTCTGTTTGTAGAACGTGCAGCAGCCTCTCTTGGCCTGGCTTGGCATGCAGGTGTCGTTGACATGGAGTCTGCTTCGGCTGGCTTCCCTCATTTGCCTCAACAACTCACATGGCATTCTGCTCCCTGACACTCTGCTTTTTCAGGACGTCAAAGCAAAGTCTAGTCTAGGAAACTTAAATCTGACTACATAAGCCTCCTTCAATTATGAGGTGTTACTTACAGAGAAGTGTTGTCTTTGCAACTGGCAGGAGAATGCAGCATGAGGACAAGTGCCAAGGGTGGGGCGATCCTTGCTGTTCGGAGGTTCTGGTGGGCCAGCCTCTTGGCCACCAGCAACACTCCCCATGGGGCATCCACATGAGCCCCATCAGAAGGCTGGACTCAGCCCCTGAGGCTGCACAGCTGTTGTCTCCTGAGGGTGGTAGTTCCTGTAGGCAGAATAAGTTTTATATGTTTTAGACCCTCACTGGGATGGAAACTTAAAGCATGAATTTGCATGGCATAACAGATGCTAGAGAGCCTGTCTCTGGTGCCCAGTTAGGAAATACTTGGTCATAGGGCCGAGTCTGAATTCCCTCTCCACAGCCCACCCTTGGCCGGGGTCACTGCCTGCCAGCTCAGGGAAACTTCCCCTGCTCTGGCTCTGCCCTGTCTTGGTGGGGAACGTCCCCTCACCTCCCTCTCTGCACTTTGGTCATAGCTCCCATAGTCTCTGTCCATAAGTTGTGACCATGCAAACCAAGGACAGTGTGGGCCAGTGGGACTAGGGGTCCCCCTCCCTGTGGCACTTAGTTTGTCGCATGTCTGTCTCCGTGTATGACCAGCCATCAATCGTGAGTTCTCTGATGTGAGGACCAAGCAGGGCCTGAAGCAGAGAAGGTGCCTCAGCAAGTGTTGAATGAATGAGTGAAGAATGAATGAATGAATGAATGAATGAATGAATGAATCACCACCAATTGAACTGCCATTCTTGTCTGTAGCTCTTGTGGAGAAATTCAACCTGGACATAAGCAAAGAGGAGTGTCAGCAGCTCATTATAAAATACGACTTAAAGAACAATGGGAAATTTGCATACTGCGACTTCATTCAGAGCTGTATCCTCCTGCTAAAAGCAAAGGAAACCTCACTGATGCAGAGAATGAAAATCCAGAACGCACACAAAATGGTACGTTGCCCATCCGCAGAAAACTTGGGGCCAGGTGTAAAGCCGCACTTGCATTTTTTTTATTTTGATATTTTTCAAGACAGGGTCTCACTCTGTTGCCCAGGCTGGAGTACAGTGGTTCACGGTTCACCACACCCTCAAAATCCCACGCTTAGCTGATCCTCCTGCTTCAGCATCCCAAGTAGCTAGGACCACAGGCACAAGCTAATTTTTGTATTTTTGTGGAGATGAATCCATTTTCACACTGCTACAAAGACACTACCTGAGACTGGGTAATTTATAAAAGAAAGAGGTTTAATTGACTCACAGTTCCACGAGGCTGGGGAGGCTTAGGAAATTTACAATCATGGCAGAAGGTGAAAGAGAGGCAAGTACTTCTTACATGGCAGCAGGTGAGAGAGAGAGAGAGAAGTGGGAAGTGCCAAACACTTTTAAAACGATCAGCTCTCTTGAGAACTTATTCAGTCTCACAAGAACAACATGGGGAACCTCCCCGATGGTCCCTCCCATGACAGCTGGGGATTCCAATTCGAGATGAGATTTGGGTGGGGACGCAGAGGCAAACCGTATCACAGGGATTTGCCATGTTGCCCAGGCTGGTCTCCAACTCCTGGGATCAAGCAGTCCACCCACCTCAGCTTCCCAGAGTGTTGAGGTTACAGGCATGAGCCGCCACATCCAGCCTCGTTTTTCTTAATCTGTTGCATTTGTGCATCACCAAGCTTCACAGAAAAGGTGGACTCAGAGACTGTAGGGGGCCAGAGCCCAGTCCAGCCCTGCTGCCAGCCAGGACTCTTCTGTGAAATGTCCCCGGCCTTGCTGTCACCTCTCCATAGACCCTACTCCGATGCTCTCTGTGTGCATGTGATACATGAGCAATCCTTAGGCCCCCCATTTCCTCCGTTACTTAAACAGGCTCAGGCAATTGTCAGATCAGCATGAGACAGCCACAGTCTGTGGAAGGGGCCCAAAGCCCCTGTGTGCGGGGGCCTCGTACCTGGGAGGCAAGGGCTGTGGTAAAGACAAGGCCTCTACCAGGCTTTGCAGATATTTACAAACAGCTCAGAAATTTACTTTCTTGGAAGTAATTTAAGATTTTCTTCCTCTCCTTTTGGAAACCTATAAGGTTCCAGAGACCCCAGCATGGGAACCAGTAGCCGGGATCCCAGGTTTTCCAGCTCTCTGGGTGGCAGACACCTGGTTTTGGTGGCTCTTCCCAGGCATCTGTGTGACCAAGGCCTCATGCAGCACCCTGGGGGCTGTGCCTGGTCAGTTAACCCGAAAGGCAAAGTGAGGGGTGGATGGGTCATAGCACCGGTCAACGCTGGAGCTGAAAGGGTCTTCACCCACCAGCTGTTTTAGACCAGAGTGTGTGTGACGGCTGGAGTCCCTTGTCATCTTTCTTGGCATAAACTATATTCACCATGCATTGTCTACAATTTTCTTTCTGTTCCTTTGAAGAGGAATGAAAACCTAAAGCCACTTCAAGAGAAGCTGGAGGGTACAGTTCTTCTGAATTTTTTACCTTTTATTCTCAACCACTTATAATTCCTTAACTGAAACCCACACCCAGTGCAATCACAGCAATTGCTCCAGCCCTTCCAAAACACACCAAAAAAAATGTTTTTAATACTGAATTACTGTTGAATTGAGTTACGTTGAATTAAATAACAAGTACCAGTACATCTGGTGCTGTCGATGTGGGGAACAAACAGCCAATTCCGACCACCTTATGACTCGGCTGGAGGGACCAGGAGTGTGGGGCTGACAGCCCTGGCCCCGCCTCCACATGGCCCCACTCCCACCTGGCCCCGCCCCCACTCACCCCACCCAAGGGCTCCACCTGCCTGGGCCACAGTGTGGGACTCTAGGGAATGGGGAGTGTGTTAATCCAGCCACAGTTAAGCAGAGGCCATGCAGAAAGTTTTTTCACAGCTAGATTTGCAATTTTGTGCAAAGTCAGTTTCCATTTTAGCCTAGCTTCTAGTTTAGACAGACAGGAGCTGGTACTAAAAGCTTAGATCAAGTTTAGAAAAAAAAAAAAAAAGATTTAAGACAGTTCTGCCAGCTCAGTTCTTCTGTGCACAGAGAAAAGACTGTCCTCATTCCATCTTCACCGGAGCCAAGAACGTGAGAACATGGAGACATATGGCTTGCAAGGCTTCTGTCCACTCCAGCCTTCCTCCACCTCTCTCGGCCTCCGTTTCTCCTTCTGGAGATCTACAGGACTCTAAGGCATGGTAGGAGGCGCATGGACCTCTGCTCAAGAGCACACCAGTGTCCCCTTCTGAGCCCTCGCCAGTGAAGAGGCCACCCCAGCCCCCATCTTCCAGCTGCATTCTCAGCGACCCTGCAAGGCTGGGGTTAGAGTAGGGTCATGCCAGGTGCTGCAGGTCAGGCCACAGAGACTGCTCTCCCCTCAACTCTCCCAAGGCACCACTCTGTGGTTCAGAAGAGTTCCCCCACCACCCCCTCCTCAAATCCCAGCACCAGACTGGCATGGATTCAGAAGCTGCCACACACTTTCCAGGAAAGAGTGGGCCCCTGACATGGTCCTGGTCACAGCCCTTGTTTCCTCTGGCAGCTGCCACAGCCGCCACCGCCTAAGTGTGGCAGTCAGGTCAAATATCTCCCTGCAGAGAAGCTACAAGGGTGCCATCCTTTTCTAGTGATTTGGGAGCCTTCTCCACCACAACAGGCAGCAGAAATACATCCTTGGGAGAAGGCAGCGTGGGTGCTGCTGCTCCCTGCAAGGCGGGTCACAGGTGGGGCTCTGGCTGGGCTGGTCCTCCTTCCCTGTGATAAAAACTAGGTGTGGGAAGGCAGGTGAGCCTCACTCTCTCTCCCCTACCTGTGGATCAGCTGATTGGCAAATTGGCAGCTCATGAAGCCATGGGTACCTGGGAAACTCAGGTCATAGGTGCTAAATGATGTTTAAAAAAATGAAAGCAGCTTAACCCTGAGCTCCTCTGTCTCATGTAGTGTCGTGTTAAAATTCAACTTTCCCAAAACATGTTACCCATTGTTGCCTACCATTCACCTCTGTGATATTCAAACACGTTGGGACTGAATCATGCTCAAATATCTTGCTTTCAATCTAATGGCACCTAAATGAAGTCATCACAGTGTAGTTAGTGTACTGTCTAATTACTAGATAGAATTACAACCTTGTGAATTTTTTGTAACACTGTTCGTTATAATAACCTGCTAGAAGACCCAGCCTGAAATCTCTTTTTTTCCTCAAACTATTTTGAAATTGGCCCATATCTGCCCGGCCGTCTCCTTGCATTCCCTGGGAGGTGGTGTGGCCTGAAGTGTGTTGGGGTCGAAGCCTACGTCACTTTACCTCCCTGAACCTCCATCTGCCAGTCTGTGACGTGGAGTAGAGACCTGCCTTCTTTCCGGTTGCCAGTGGGGGAGGTGTAAATGAGATGGCTGATTAATACATGTTTTTAAACAGCCCACACACTGACTCGTCATGGTCAGAGGGCCGGTGCGCATCTTTGTCATGAGTTCTGCTGGCAGGTTCCATCCTAGATCAGGAGCCAGTGGAGCAGGTGGGGGGGTTGAAGCTGGAGCAGGGCTGGGTGTGGCAGAGGCAAGGAGGAGCCCACCTCAACTCTCCCATTCAGAAGCTCCTTCCTCACCCCTTCTTGTCTTGTGTTTAGAAAGAAGCCGGCGCTGAGACCTCTTCTTTTTACTCTGCTCTACTGCGTATTCAGCCCAAAATTGTGCACTGCTGGAGGCCAATGCGGCGCACATTCAAAAGCTATGACGAGGCTGGAACGGGGCTGCTCAGCGTGGCAGATTTCAGGACGGTGAGCCCAGCTCTGCGCCCAGTGCCTCTGCAGCGAGCAGCTGCCAAATGCCAGTGGCCAGAAACTTCCAACGGGGTTGGGGGGGGCCCTCCACCCCCTGCTGAAGGCCTAATGTGACCTGGCTGTCTCAGATCTCACTTCCCTGGGACCCCCAAGTGATCAAGGCCTGAGTCCACTTGCTTCTCACCTGCAGACCCCAAGTTCTCCTTCCCAAAAGTTTCTGGAGCACTGCATGGATGCTCCGTGCCACTGTGGCCTGAGCCCAGGTCCCTTAAGGCACTGCCACCACTGCTCCTGCTGCTGCTGCTGCAAGCCTTCACCCCACATCTGGGCTCTCCTGCAGGCTCTGAAGAGCATCTCTGACCTATGTTGGGCCTGCAAAGTGAGCTCTGCCCTTGCAGTGCATAGTGGGGCCCCACCATTGTGCATCTGTCCCAACGTCCCTCGGTGCCCCCCCCCCACTGTGTCCCACCCCCATTGCCTCGCAAACACCCAGCAGTGGTTTTCCAATCCACATGCCTGTTCCTCTTTCCTTCGGGGTCAAGTAGGAATCACAGTCAGGGATTCTCCCTTATCCTCCATGCAAAGACAGGCAGGAAATAGGGCAGGTTCTGTCATTCCCTTCTGGCAACTTTCCAGGAATTCCGGCATGGTTGCAGGTCAGATGGTGTAACTGCGGGGCTGTCTCAGACACCAGGCTCAGCTTCCTTTTCTTCCTTTTCTACCTTGGACCTGCAGCCAGGCCCGCTGACCTCTGCCCTGTGGGACCTCTGGGCCGTCTAGCTGAGCTTTCCAGGCTCCTCCTACAAACAAATTATAACACAAGTGTGGATAGGAAATGGACGACCTTATTTATTTATTACGAGGGTCTGTCAGGATTTGTTTCAGCATCATATAATAGGAGAAAAAAATAACAGCCGCTTAAACAAGGTGAAAGTTTATTTTGCTCCCACAGAAAGGAAGTCCAGGGGTAGGGAGTACAGAGCTGGTGTGGTGGCTGGACAATCATCAGGGACCACATTTTTGCTCTGCTGTCCCCAGCTGCTGGCTTTCTTCCTCAAGCCAACCTCATGGTCCAAGGTGGCTGCTGGAGCTCCTGCATTATAGCCATATTCCAGGCAGCAGGTGGAAAAAGAGGAGAGAAAAAGGGCATGGCCCTCTCCTTTAAATGAGGCTTCCCAGATGTTCCGCGTAACATTCGTACTTAGCTTCTCTGGCTAGAACTTACCTAGCTGCAGGAGACGCTGAGACATATTCCTGGTTAGCTGGACACACAGGAGCCTGGGAGAAAGTCAGGCTCTGTAACTGAAGAGGAAGGGGCAGTCAGTCTTTGCTTTACCACAGCAGGCTGTGCTTCAGGCTGTGTTACCGACTCATCACAGCAATTCTCTGCACTCTGCACCCACTGGCCCTGCCCTCCTCTGCCTGGGTGCACCCTGAGGCCCCGCCCTAAGTTACGGCCACATGGCCAGGTCTCCCCATGAGTCCCCACCTCTCTGACCATCAACCTTTTCTAAACATGCTGACCAGCCTTCAGCCCCTCAGGCACACTGAGGCTTGTCTTGGCCCTAGGTTTTGGAGGCAGGCTGCCAGGAAGGGGGCTGGGGGACACATCCACCCAGTCCCCAACCCTACTTTTGAATTACCCTCCCATCTGTGAGTGCTCTCTCTTTCTGTGCCCTCTCAACCTCTGCCCAAACAGGAAGCAGCCCCCAAGGGTAGCCCCATGTCTCCTCCTGTTTCAGACCCAGAGGCACATGTAGGTTATGCCTCCATAACCTGGGGCCAAGACAAGCCTCAGAGGCCCCTTTTCTCTGACTTCCAGGTCCTGAGACAGTACGGCATCAACCTCTCAGAAGAGGAATTCTTCCATATTCTGGAGTATTACGACAAGACGCTGTCTTCAAAAATCTCCTACAATGACTTCCTCCGGGCGTTCCTGCAGTAGACACACCTGCCGTGCGTCCAGCAGGACCACAGCCTCGGGGCCTGTTTCAAGACTAACAAAATCTTATAATTTGGGGGTTTCTTTTTTTCCTTTTTCTTTTTTTTAATTTGGGGTTTCATGAATTTTCAAAAATACAAAACCCAAGCCCAGCCTGCCTCTCTCTGGGTCGGGGGAGGTGTCCAGGTGCCAGGAGCCACCACTGTGTCTTGGGCACCCTCACGCATTAGTCTGAACAAATAAAATAGTCTTTGCAAGAATTACTAATGCTAACATTTTTTTTTTAGACAGAGTTTTGCTCTTTTGCCCAGGCTAAAGCAAAGTGTTGGGATCTCGGTTCACTGCAACCTCCACCCCTTGGGTTCTAGCAATTCTCCTGCCTCAGCCTCCTGAGTAGCTGGGATTACAGGCACCCGCCACCACACCTGACTAATTTTTGTATTTTTAGTAGAGATAGGGTTTCCCCATGCTGGCCGGGCTGGTCTCAAACTCCTGACCTCAGATGATCCGCCCACCTCAGCCTCTCAAAATGCTGAGATTATAGGCATGAGCCACTGTGCCTGGCCAATACTAACATTCTTAAAAGGCTGGAATTTCTGGAGGTTTTATTCATGACCACCCTGCAGGATACCCAGGTCAGTTAGAGCCTTGCACCCCATTTTTCAAGGGCTGCTGCCTCCTTTGACCCCCAGCATCCTGGGACCTGGGTCAAAGGACCTCTGAGCCCCCTGTTGCAGTCAGGGTGTCCATGTCTCTTCTCCTGGGGACACAGGTACTGACAACCCCATCCCCATCCTGCTCAGGGACGCCGGCCAGCCTGACTCCATGAAGAACAACTCACACCTGAGTGAGACCCGTGGGGCTTTGGGCCTCCACCTTCCTGAGGACAAGCCTAGTGGCCACTGACTGTGACCTCCACCTGGGACAGTTCTGACAGGGCCCTTTCTTGGAACTGACAGGTATGAAGGGAAGTTTGAAAATTGTCAAAATTGTGAGTGACAGCCCAGGCCAGCATTGGAGGGCCTGAAGATGGTCAGGCAGGCTCCCCTGCAGGCAGCACCAGGACTCACTCATCCCCATGCCCACATCCCTGCCTCTATGCCCTGGCTCCTGCTGGCTCCTCCTCCTGGGACTCCTGTTCTCATCTGCACAGCCCCTTTACTCTTCCTCTGAGGCCCAGCTCCAATCCTCCTGTAACCCCTGGCAGAGTTTGAGCTCCCCGTTTGATGCCCTCACCACTTGGCAGAGAGAGCCCCTCCCTTCTGCACAGGACAGCTGGGCCTAGAGTCCACCCACAGGGTGAGAACACTGACCTCCACCCCCCCAGACTGACACACAGCAGGCGCTCTAATGCTGGGGCGGGGCACAGCCTCTGGGTTCCTTTTCCAGAAGGAAAACTGACCAGGCTCTGCAGGGAGTGTGGGCAAGTTGGGGAGCAACTCTGGTGTTGGGGCTTCTCTGTGGATGGACTCTGTGTGTGCTGGACTCCTCATAGCACTGGGAGGTGGGGTCAGATCCATTTTCTCTTGGCCGCATCTCCCAGCTCCTGGCAAAACAAGTTCTGGATCTTTCCATGCATTTCCCACCAGCACTTCTGGCAGCATACTCTGACATAACCATTTTAAAATGCAGTCTCACCCATAAAAACAGGTGACACGGAACTTTCAATGAGCTCAGGTAAGAAGGCTTGGCATCTGCCAGCTGTTATTCCAACCCCAGAAATTGAAAGTGGGTCCCCAAACTTGCAAAGTAACCCATTAAAATCCCCACCATGGTGGAGTATGGGATGCTGAGCAGTGAGGGGCAGATGGATGCCCGGTCCATGTCCCCTGCCTCAGCATTTGAGGCCCCACCTTTGTGCCCAGATCCCATCCTGTGTGCTGGACTTCAGCTTCCCCACACGGGCTCGTACATATCTTTGCACTTGGCACCAGCTGTTTCTTCCACCTACTCCTCAGGAGATGCTGAATATCCCTTCAAAACTCTCCACAGCACCCCTTCCACGAAGCTGTCCTGACTTCCTGAGGCTGAGTCAGTACAGTTAGTCTGGGGCTGTTCAGCAGCCCTGTGGGCTCATCATTTTTAAGGGTTGAAGAAGGAGGAGGACAAAGAGGAAGAAATAAAAGAAGGAGGAAAAGAACAAGAAGTGCAACTGACTGCAGGTATGTGGGTCTCAAAGCCTGGAATATTTACTATCTGATCCTCCACAGAGAAAGTTTGCTGGGCCCCACTATACAAATGTCTGGCTTTCAACAAAAAATGTTGACACATATCAAGGGCAATTATAAAAACACAGTTTGAGAAGCCAAAACAATCATAAGAATCAGACTCAGGCATGATACAGATTTTGGAACGATCAGAAAAATGTTTAAATAACCAGTTTATGTGTTTGAGCTCTAATGGAAAAGAAAGACAACGCATGACCAGACAATTTCAGCAGAATGATGAAAACTGTAAGAACCAGAAAGGCTAGAAATAAAAAACACCGTAATGAAGATGAAGATTGCCTTTGACAGGCTCATCAGTAGATGCAACATAAACAAGGAAAGAATGAGTGAGTTTGAAGATAGGTCAATAGCATGTTTCTAAACCTAAATGCAGAGAAAAAGAAGAGTGGGGAAAAATTACAGAACATATAAGAGCTGTGGGACAGGATAAAATAGTCTAATATGCATGTAATTCAGGAGGAAAAGAAAGAGAACATGGGGCAGAAGAAATAGCTGAATAAATAATGGCCGAGCATTTTCTAAAATGAGTTACAAACATTAAACTAAAGAGAATAGAAGCATATAGAACCTGGCAGGACACACACACACACACACACACACACACACACACACCCCTAGAAATGTCATGTTCAAATTGCTGCAAAAATAAAAAACACACAGAGAGGAAATTTTGAAGGCAGCTAGAGAAAAAAGATAACTGACCTACAGAGGAACAAGGATAAGAATTACAGCACACTTCTCAGAAACTGTGCTAGCCAGCAGACAATGGAATATCAATTTCAGAGCGCTGAAAGAAAATCATCAAGCTCAAATT